TTGGTCCGTTAAGTAATAATGACAATTCTAGATTATTTCCACAACTTTTAGTTGAGTCACATTTGGTCCTCTACTTGAAAATTGCCAATATGCTCAAGGGACCAACAGTAGAGTTAACTCTAACATTAAATATTTTTAAATACCTTTTTAAGCAGCTACCCATAATGCCCCCAGTACTTCTGCTGTCCCTGAAATGGATTTACTTGGCTCTCTTTTTGAATCATTCTCTTCCAATTCATTGGCCATTGTACCTGTCGGATCAGTTACTGGAACATCCAATTCTGAAGTCACATCTGTTGCCAACCAGGTTGGTTTTTATTCAGGAATGTGTTTATACTTACATATTTCATTCCTGAGTATTTTAGTTTATTGGAAGCAGAGTGTGTAATATTTACATATTAATAAGGTAATTTGCTAATCTGCCCATGTACTTCATGATATGAAAATAGGCTTCTGCAACTGACATTTTATTTTCCTTGTGGAATTTTGCATATTGTTTTCATGTAGGGTTTTGATGATCCCTTTGGCAATGAACCCTTCAAGGCTATCCCATATTCCAATGGAATATCTGATCAACCTCCCGAATCACTTCGTTCCTTGACTCAAAGTCCTGATGTTCCTCAACCAGTATCTCATAGTATTCAGCCTCATTCAACCAACAAGAATGAGCTGTCTATTGCCAACCGGGAGATTGACATATTAGCTGATATTCTCCCACCCTCTGGGCTTTCACCTTCTGTGTATTCACAAAGTGAGCATCCAGTCCCAACTGGCCAAATTGCACCACATATGGGTTTTCAACCTTTTCAGTATGCTTCACTCTCAAGTTTTGCTGCTCAACCTGCACAACAGTCGTTACAGTCAAGTTTTCAAACTGCTCAACCTGATTCACAAATGGGGTTTTCTGCTCAAACCAGCCAACCTCAATCTTTGGCAATTATTCCAGCTCAAGCTGATCAATCACTACAAACAAGATTCACAGCCCAAAGTGGTCAACCCGCTCATCTTAATGGCTTTCCAACACAGCTTGGTTCTCTTCCACTACGGGTGTTACAGTCAAGTTTTCGAACTGCTCAAGCTGATCAATCACCACAAACAGGATACACAGCCCAAAGTGGTCAATCTGCTTACCTTAACGGTTTTCCAACACAGGCTGGGTTTCAGGCTTCTAGCGGCAAATTCTTCAATCCAAATCCTAGTCTTTATGGGGGTTACAATGCACCTTTTGGATCTCTACATGCATTCGCCCCCTCCATGGGTACTCAAGTTTCCGCTGGAGCATCTACACATGATAATACTCCAAATTTTCTTTCACATCATGGTACAGCTGCCCAAGTACCTTCACAGATGGCCATTCAATCATCACAAAGTCAACCATCCTCCCCTCGTCCCATGCAGCCTATTCCATCATTTGCTGCTGCATCTCTGGTCACCGGTTCTCAGCCAGCTAACAACAAGTTTGAGACAAAATCTACAGTTTGGACTGATACACTGAACCGCGGACTGGTCAATTTGAACATTTCTGGGCGTAAGTTCTCACCACCCGTGTGTTCATTTCATTATCACTCTTCCCTGTAGTTATTTTCCATGTCATTTTATGTGCAGCCAAAACAAATCCATTAGCTGACATTGGGATTGACTTCGATGCAATGAATCGCAAGGAAAAGCGGATGGAAAAACCCACTAACACCACAGTGGCATCAACCGTTCTCATGGGGAAAGCCATGGGTTCTGGTTCTGGAATTGGCCGTGCTGGTGCAGGTTCTGTTACGCCTCAGCAAACTCAGATGGTAGGCCCAGGTTTGGGCATGGGAATGAATGCTCATCCCGGAGCTGCAGGCTTTTCCATGGCAGGTTACAGAGGAGGACTTAACCAGCCAATGGGAATGGGAATGGGAATGGGGATGGGGATGGGAATGGGAATGGGAGGGATGAGTAGACCAATGAACATGAGCATTGGACAAGGAATGCAGCAGATGCAACAGCCTGCAGGCTTTCCTCCTGGACCGAACATAGCCGGAGGAGGTTACTATCCTCTGCCTGGCGCTGGCAATTATGGCCAGCTACCCTTTGGTGGTGGTGGTGGATATCAATGAAGTGAACTAAAAGAAAAGAAAAGAAGAATACTTGAAGAATTATTTGTGGAACATGAATGCATGATTGCCACTGGCTAGTGTATTTTAATAACTTTTCATTTTCAGAACTACACATTATTGTGTGCTTTGATTCCTAGCTTTTGGTAATCGCATTTTCCTATTTCTCTACGATCGCAACTTTTACAGTGGACCAGTAATAAATTTTTAATGTTATGAATGTTTATTACTAAAAATAGCATTCTGTCATACTAAAGTAGATCTTATGTCAATGGCCAGGCCATCCCCATACTAAAGTAGATCTTGTGTCAATGGCCAGGCAGTGTATTTTGCACAGTTTTTGACTTTTTAGATAAGTATAGGTAATGTGGAGGAGAGAGAAAATGTGAACTCCTTGTGAGTTTTGTGTGGGTCCCGCAGCACAAAGAACGAGAAAATTAATGCGCGTTTCGCGCACAATGGCGCCCAGCCGGGTGCATACATAGTCGTTGTCTTTGTTTTTCTTTATTCCTTGCGTTAGATCCCAATACCTTGTGAGTTTTGTGTGGGTCCCGTAGCACAAAGAACGAGAAAATTAATGCGCGTTTCGCGCACAATGACGCCCAGCCGGGTGCATGCATAGTCGTTGTCTTTGTTTTTCTTTATTCCTTGCGTTAGATCCCAATACCTCCCCCCACCCCCCCCCCCCTTTGTTTCTTTTTTCCTTCTTCTCTTTTCCTCCTCTCTTTCCTACTTGGCACCTCAAAAACCACCCCAAAAATCTCATTATTGAGGATGGCCGATGGGAAAATTTTACTGTGGACGATGGTCCAAAACGGTGTCGCTTCTTTTAGTGAAAAGAAATGCGACGCCCGTTTCGCGTAATTAGTTCTATTTACATAACATATTTAGTTTCAGTTTATATACATTGTAGTTTCATTTCATCACAACTAAAGTTTCATTTTGTTTCAACTACAGTTTTATTCGATATTATATATACAATAGTCTTATTACAGTGAAACATGTTATTGAATTTCATTTTATACACATTGTAGACTTATTACAACACCACTAAATTATAATTCTAATTCAATTACGGTTTCATTGGACAATATACACTCAAATATGTGAAAACTGTTATTCAGTTTCATTTTATATACACTGTAGTTTCATTACAACACAACTAAAGTATCATTTTGATATAATTACAATTTCATTTGACAATATACATTCAATATGTGAGACATGTTATTCAGTTTCTTTTTATACATACTGTAGTTTCATTTCAGTAAAACTAAAGTATCATTTCAATTCAACTACAGTTCTATTTAACAATATACACTCAATATGTGAGACATGTTATTCAGATTCATTTTATACATACTACAATTTCATTTCAACACAACTAAAGTATCAATTCAATTCAATTACAGTTTCATTTGATAATATAAACACAATATGCGAGACAAATTATTCAGTTTCATTTTAGATACACTGTAGTTTTATTTTATTATGAACACACAAAAAAATATTAAATTTATTAAAATTTAACCGCGGCTGTTTGTTTAAAGAAATTGTTATTTGTATCACCAATCAAAATAAGTCAATTGTTTTTTGTTTTGTTTTTTTTTTTTTTTTTTGAAGGGGAAAATAAGCCAATTGTTAAAAACTTGTTTTCAAAATTATACAATTACATGTACAACCGGAAGAGTATTTGCTTAGAATATGAATTGAGAATAAGTTGTTAGGAAAAATAATATAAAGACCTAGACGTCTTTACATAATAAAAATCTGTGAGGACGATAACATATATATGATTGAAAAAAATATAACAAAGGATAGAAAGAAATTTATTTTTCATTGGAATAAATTATCATCAATCAAACAAGACAAAATATATATTTTTTTCAAATTTGAAGAAAAAAATCTCTCAATCATGTGAACCAAATAAACTATGAGGATTGGAATTTAATATGAAAATACTAGTATAATTAGTATATACGAGTAATATCTATACGGAAAATACTATACATATTCCTAATTTTTATTTTTATATTTAAAATTTTGATATAGACACTTTTACATGGACTCACATGAAAAAAATAATCTATCAGCTCCTGCCACATTAGGGAGTAAATTTTAAAAAGTAAGATTTGAGAGTACACGTAGTAGAACTCTATCTATACAAAGATAAGTTATGAAAATGTTAATTCTCAAAAATCTATTCCCATTAGATTATTGAAATTAACTTTAAACCAAAAAAAAATATTTTAAAAAGCTTTATTCCAAAGATGCATATTTAGAAAAAAGAATAAAAAATAGACCCCTAAATTTTATATGAGAAGTCAATTAGAACCCTTTTAAAGTTGCAATTAAGTCTATCAATATGAGATTTTTGTGCATTAAAATCTAAAAATTGATAAATGACTTGTAATAAGCAGTCGCTAGGGTTCCAGCGAGATTTCATGTTACTAATGACGACGTCGTTCCAATAACCTTGGCAACGGTCACGAGTTGTTGCCTTCTCGAATGGAGAAAGCAACCTAATCAACGCCGCCTTCTCCATCAGAGATGACGACCATTTGGTCGCCTTCCAATGGAGAAGGCAACCGGCGATCGTCGCCAGAGTGCAGTCGATAATTCGGAATCCATCGAATAACTTTATTATAGTAAATACTTAAATTAGCGACCAAACAATTAAAATCTTTTTATGCAAGAGTTGGCACTACGGAAATTTCTTTATATATATTTTTTGGGCGGGATATTGCAGCAATTTCATTTGCTAGAAGCATGTTGATTTTATAAATAGATATGCTCAACTCCAGCAAAGAGTTCAATTGGATACAATTTGCAGAGTTCAACTAATTTGAAAAAATATTACGCAAATAGCTCTCTATCTCTGTCGAGAATTTTTCATTTACAACACTGTTACTTAATGTTATCACCTCCATTGATATAAATAAATAAAAATAAATATGATATACAGCATACTCACTGGAGAAAATCACCACAGATCAATATCCATGATTCAATCAATAACAACATATCACAATAATTGAGTAGACCACATAGGCAAATCCTAAGATTCATTTTTCTTTTGTTTTTTTGTTTTTTTTTTTTTTTGTTTTTGGGGGTAGGGGGTAATTTTGGGGATAGATGATGCTTTGTGTAGAAATCCTGAGCAGCCGATAATATCAACATTACATTTCATGAGCATGAGGAGCGTGAGACTTCAACAATGGCTGGAGAGCCTTCACAACAATGCTCATGTTGGGGCGAAATTCGGACTCATATTGTACACACAATGCTGCAACAGCTGCCATCTGCATAACCCCAAATTTTGTTTACCCCAAAAAAAAAAAAAAAAAAAAAAAAAGGATCTAACTGGGAAATCTTGAAAGCTAAATGCAAATTGAAGTTGTGTGGGGTATGGGAAAGAGGAGAAACCTTTGCCACAGCTTTTGGAGGACACTCTCCTAGCTTTGGGTCTACACATTGGTGCACTTTGTCTTCACTCAATCTTGGGGTGGCCTGAAGGGAATTGATGTATACATTGAGCATATATATAAAATGTAAATGTGCGATATCACTATCAGTTTAAACTTTTAGTTGAGACAGAAAACATGAACGCATGAGTCATGACAGAACAGAAGGAAAAGTGATAAATTTCGATACGCACCCAGGTGACAAGGCTCTGCTGTCCGCGAGGCATAGTATGATCTACAGGTTTCCTGCCTGTCAAAAGTTCAAGCAGCACGACCCCAAAGCTATAAACGTCGCTCTTCTGTGTTAGTTGTCCTGTCATTGCATATCTGCAAATATTTATTCGCAGAAATTAGTTTGATAATCCTCAAAGAGTCAAATCCAACTTGTTCTCCCTCTTTCTGGTAAAAGAACAGCCATGAACAAGATGGTTGAATATAAAACAGGTATCCCACAATCAGTGGCAAGACAATGTTCTTGCATATTATGGACTTTTATTTAGCATGACTTCAGATGGCATAATTTTCATGTTCACCAATGAAACAATATAAGGGTATGACAAAGCATTACTCTGGTGCATGATAACCGAATGTTCCCAGAACTCTAGTAGAATGAAGCCTGGCAGCCATATCTGGAGCTTGATTAGAAAGGTTAAAATCTGCAATCTTTGCACTGAAGTCGTCAAACAGAAGGATGTTGCTGGATCTGATATCTCTGTGTATTAAAGGAGGTTGGACCTTCTCGTGCAAATATTCAAGTCCCCTTGCAGCCTCAACAGCGATCCTGACCCGTTGCATCCAATCAAGTGTAGGGCCAGGCAGTGATCCTGGTACTCCCTTCCTTCCTGTAAGTAAACCAATTAAACTTGATGAAACTTCTGTTTCTCTCTTCGTTTTTTTTCTTTTTTTGCATTTTTCGTAAGCATACTTTATGAACTTTTCTTCTAATCAGTCAAAAATTCTATCAAATGAGCTACATTGGGATGTTTTTACATACCATGCAATATATCATGTAAAGATCCCATGGTTGCAAACTCATAAACTAACACACGGTGACTCCCTTCTACACAGTAGCCAAGCAGCTCAATAAGATTGACATGTTTCATCCTTGAAACCATGGAAACCTTAAAAAGAAGAAACATAATGAATGAATTAAATCGAATGCCAAGAATATGCAGCAAGCCAGCAACCAAGGCAATAAACCGAAGAAATTTATGCAGATTTACAAACAAACCTGGGTTAAGAACTCAGCATTTGGCGCTGGCTCAGATGACATATCTAACTTCTTCACAGCCACAGCTTTGCCATCATCTAAACTTGCACGGTACACTCTTCCATAAGATCCTTCACCAATTAATACCTTTGATCCAAAATTGTCAGTTTTTTCCTTTAACTTCTCCAGAGAATAAACAGGCACCTCAATAACTGGGATTGCCTTCTCCACCTCAGGTTTGGCAGGAGCTTGTACTCTTGCGCGTCTTGGACGTCCTAACATGTGATATAAGAGACAGTACAAATGTAAGTACATATATTTGCAGAATTGCAGGTAATTTATATGCATTAGCCCCATAAATACTCTTTTAAAGTAAGAAACACATTTATGTTAAACAAAAAGTTCTCCAATAACACAAATACATGTAGTTTTAATGTCCAATTACTCCATATGCATGTACCTCCCAGCCACATATTGTAATTTTTCTAGGGTTGCTGAAAAAAATAAGGGGGAAATTGGCAGAGGATCAATTTTATAAATATTGTAAATTTAAAGTTCACAATAATTATTTTTTACTAAAATCATCAACATGATGGGCAGTCGTGATGGATTGTTCTCATTTTAACTCACCTCTATATATATCTAAAGCTTCCAAATTCCAATGAACCCAACAAAAACATCTTATAGAATAAACCCAACAAACTATCTTCCAATGACATGAATAACCAAACAAAATATTTCAGCTAGGATACATGATGAGACTCAGAAAATAAATGAATAAATGAAATACCATCAGAATTCTTAGCGGGACTTTTTAGGAGCTCAGTTTCGCGTGTGGGATGGGATTCCTCTGATTGGCAGATGCAACAAAACCATCTTCGCATCCCTGCTCTCTTCTTTGGATAAACACCATCATCTTTGCTTGACGTTTCCAGTGGCACAAAGTAACCTGGAGATGGAGCATTCGACTGCGAAACAACTCAAAATATAAGAACATATATTTATCTACCAAAAAAACAACAGTAATTCAAAGAAATCGCTTTCCCTTCAAAATAAAATTTCAGGTAAAATGTCTGTTCTTAAGATTTAAAAAATAAAAAAATCGCTTCCTTCCTTTATCACAATGTCTTTCACATGCATGGTAAACAGATTCAGAATCTGATCCCATAATCAGGCAAAAAGCGGTTGCACTTTGTAACTGGAGAAAATTGGAGAAATAGAAAACATAAAATGGAAACTTGTTTACTAAAATCATTTTTTCAAATTGAAAAACAGAGAATTACTTTCCATTTTTCTAGAATTTGGACAATCCACTTAACAAATTCTCTAAATTTGTAGAAATTGACAAAGTAAATCCACACTTTAATCCCTTACAACAACATTTCTAACTATTTTTTCCTAGATAAATTGAAACGGGAGAAATAAAAAACTGAAATTGTGCAATTTCGATCAGTTTTCATGCAATGATATAACAAAACTATGAACAACATATGGAAAACGAGAAATGCAGAGATAACAAGCATACCACAAGCCCTCGTCGATGAAATGTGCCATCCATCGACGAATGAAGCAAAAAGATAAAAACAATCACTATTCAGGAAAAAAAATAATGAATCCCCAAACTCTTTTAACTGAACAGCAGAGAGAAAGGGGATTGAAAGGGTGAATTCAAGATGGAAAGGGCATGTATCAAATACCCCCAAGGATTGGGAATGGAATAGAAGAAGGCTTAATAGAGAATTGACGGAAGAGAACGATAACAGAAACGGGCAATTGAAGAATTGCACTTGGCACGGATCAGAGGCAATCCGGAATTCAAGGTCCGCTTTTTCATTATTTAAAAAAATTATTTGTTTATTTAAGGAGAAAAAAGAGAAAACGCCCAGTTGTAGTCTTCGCTGTATGGAGAATGAGAAGAAATGTATGAAATCGGACAACCAACGAACAGCGAAACCAGAGGAGCAGAATGGAATGTCTCTCCTTTTTCGCGGTCCAATCTGTTCTTTTGAATTTTTCTATTCGACAAACAAACTGATCAAAAATAATAAAAGGAAAAATGCCCAATACACTGTTAAATCTAAATCTAAATAAAAATAGAAACAAAAACATACTCCGTATTCTGTAATAAATTTCAATCCAGGTTATACCCATTGTACCTTATACTATAAAAAAGTTATATTACATAATTTTTTTGAACAAAAATATCCTTCCCGTTATAATTTCTTTATCTTTTTACATTATTATTATTATCATGTACATGCATATACAATTTTTTTTCCCTACATTCTTTAATGGTAAGTTTAATTTTATTTATATTTTAATTAAATGTTACCATAGTTATATTTAGTAATTTATCATTTCTATAATTCTTACCTCAATAACATTTTTTAAAATTTATATCTTTATAAAAATTAAAATAATAATATTTATTTATATAAACATTTAAATAAATAAATAAACAAAAATTGTGTACTCGCCCGTGAAAGCTCAACAGCAAACTTCATCTTCTCCATCTTCGAATGCTCCTATAATTCAGGGAAATAAATGAAGACCACTGCGGGAATGAGCTATCCTTGGTATACAGATTGCAGAGTCTACAAACGTGTACTAGTCTGTAAAAGCTCAACGGTAAACCTCGCAAAATCACAAACGAATACCCCATACATTATACTAGGTAACAAACAAATTGTATATTGCAATGATCAATACACAAGTCACATACTTCACAGTATTACCAATCAAAATTTATATGTATGTATCTAATGATCAACGCACAACTCGTATACTTTATAATTCATTTCAATTTTCATTTTGAAAGCTAAACCCGTATATATGATATGATATGATGTATGTATATAATTATTGTGGTAAATATAATTGCATATAATGTTTCTAATTTCTATGTTTCTAGTTATTTTGAAAGTCCATCCCGTATGTAATAACAAAAATATAAAAAATATTTAAATTAAGAAATTAATGAAAAGTAGTTATAGAGTATTTAAATGGTAATAAAATTATCTTTATAATCAAAGAAATTATTTTATAGTTAACAAATATACGTAAATCTTCCAAAATATTAATATTCACAATAATTAAAATAGTTTAATTATTATACTAATAAAGAAATTAAAGAGTTTTTTTTTTTTTTTTTTTTTTTGGGTATACTCATGGTTTCCACCATGGTTTGGAGATTTAAGACTGTTCTATTTTCAAAGTCAAAGATTGAACCCTTACTGAATGAGTCCCTTCTACTCAACCACACTCTCCAAGTTACTAAAGAGTTAATTATAACTAAGATAATAATGTAATTAAAGAAATAGTTGTAATTAAGCTAATAATGGAGAATAAGACATTAAGGAATTGAAAGTAATTATATTATATGGATGATGATTCGACCCACAAGGACCAAGATTGCAATAAATGGCAGATCTATTTACTTAATTACAAAGTATTTAAATGGTAATAAAATAATATTTATAATCAAAAAGTTTTTTTATTTTATTTGTTGTAGTTAATGAATATACACAAATCTTTCAAAATATTAATATTTGCAAAACATAAAATATTTTTAAAATAATAATATAATGATAATTAATAGTATAAAAAATATTTAATATGAAGTATTTAACTGATAATAAAATTGTCTTTATATTAAAATAAATCATTTTTTAGTTTATAAATATACGAAAAAAGTAAAAATCATTGTAAACGAAAATTATTAAATAGATTTTAAGATTTAGCGTATTATAATATTATTAGTTGAAAAGATACTACAATGTAATAGAGTCAGTAGTATCACAAATATATTTAATACAGAGTATTTAAATTGTAATTAAAAAATCATTTTTAAAAATTAATGAATATACGAAAAAGGTAAAAATCATTGTAAAGAAAAAGTATTAAATAGATTTTAAAACTTAGTGTACTATAATATAATTATTAGATAGTCATTTCCTTCATTTTATCAGTATACTAATTAGTTTTAGGAATTGCGGAATTAATTATAATTAAGCTAATAATAGAATTAAGGAATTATGTAAAATAAGGAAATAATTGTAATTAAGATAATAATGGATAATAATAAATTACAGGGCGTTTGGTTTGAGATGGGGAATTACGTGGGAAAGGAATTGCAATTCTATAGGAGATGAATTACTGGAAATAAAGTGGTAGTTTAAATTATAGTGTTTGGTTTACAGGAATATAATTACTGGAAATTTCAATTCCAATGTTTGGTATACATGGGAATTGAAAGGGAATAAGTAGTATAAAGTCAAAAATGTTCATTGTTGTTGTTAGGCATTAATTTTATGTTAAAAAATGAAGGGGTAATTTTGACTCATCACTATCTTTTTTTCTTCCTAAAATTCCAGGGGACATGAGATTTTAATTCCATGAAAATGGGAGAATTGCAATTCCCCGTATTGTAATTCCTTTCAACCAAACAATGAAATTTTGTGGCCTTTAAAATTAGGTAGGAAGGGAATTTAAATTCCATTCAACCAAACGCCTTGTTAAGGAATTGAAACTTGAAGTAATTATAGAGTACTTAAATGATAATAAAATTATATTTCTAATAAAAAATTATATTAATTCTTTTTAAAATTATTTCACCTTTTTCTGTATATTCATTTTAATAATAATATAATTAGATGAATCATATTACATATCAATCTTTTTAAATGTAATCAAACAAGTCATATATTATTAATACTTTTGCATTGATTTTATAATCAAATAAATGTAAACTTTTAAATATTATAGTTATTTATAACTTTATTATTTAAATATATATACAAATAATCTGTGCATCACACGGATAATTTACTAGTTATAATAAAACATAAAACATAAACTAATAACAGAAGAAGCTGTAATATATCAAATATATCTCATGTCATTCTTGACATAGTTGAATAAAAAAACTGGTTTGTGTGTAAGTTTCTTTAACTTTTATTTTTTTTAAATGATAAAAATTCACAACCATTGTCTCATAATGTGTATTATGTGTTTCTTTAAAATGCAAAATTTTTACTTTTAGCCAAATAAAAAAGTATTAGTTTTCTAACATTCATCTAAATACCAAAAAATTAAAATATTTTTCAGGTTACTATATGTATTCTCAAATTATTGCCTCCATTGATATACTTTATCAGGCTAAAAAAGTATTAGTTTTCTAACATTCATCTAAATACCAAAAAATTAAAATATTTTTCAGGTTACTATATGTATTCTCAAATTATTGCCTCCATTGATATACTTTATCAACCAAATGAAACATAAAGAGCCAGTATCGTCTTCACGGAGACTCGAATTCACAACTTTAGGAGTAATTTTGTGTCATTGGACCACAAAGTTATTGTCCCAAATGTTTATTAATATTTCGTTGTATAATAATGTCCTGAAGTGTAGGTTGAGAAAAAGTAACATTGTTAGTACTAAAAAAAAAAAAAAACAAAACAAAACTGAAGTAATAGTTTAATACCCATGCCTACGCAAGAACAAGAACTTTAGTCGAACACAACAGGCTTCTCTAAACAGTTGCGCAGACAATCGATCTCCATCTCAATCAGGTATTCTTTAATCCTCTTCTGTAGCAATCCCTCTCTCCACTATCCTATGCGAATATGGTGTGTATGTGTGCATGCTGTTCAATACTGATGAATACCTATCCATCTGGCCATTGATTTGAAGCGTTGCGGGTTTCTGTGATGGGATTGAGGGTTCTGAGCTTTGTTCAGAGTTTATGGCCTTTCTCTATTTTCAAACGCGATGACTTGAGGGTTTCGGAGGGGTTGGTTAGGAAATTATCGATACCTGATTGCACGAAACAGTTCGTTTATGCGGTTCCCGAGCCTGAATCGGGCGCTGTTATATACGTAGTGTGTGTTCAGAACTTATCGGAGCAGTCGGCTATGGATGCCGAGTGTCTCATTAGGGAAATTAGGCCTGACGCGGTGGTGGTTCAAGTGGATAATATGACGAACGAGCTTCATAGGGGTGGAAATGAGGGTATAAATGATAAGGGTTTTATGAAGTTTTTATTTGCTGGTGGGAATGATGAGGATTGTGAGGAGAATTCGGTTCCAACCTCGGCAATTGAGGTTCTAAAGAGGTGCTTTATGCACAAGATTAATAAGGAAAAGTATGAGAATGTGGCAGGGGATTTGGTATTGAGGGAGATTTTTGGTGTTGGATTTGATGGATATTCCTTGGCAGCAAAGAAAGCAGCAGAAGATGTTGGTTCAGCTCTTTTGTTAATAGATTCTCCTTTTGTGAAACGCAATGAGGATAATGAGTGTTCCACGGTGGGAGGCGAAGGGTTTGGAGTTCTTGGTTTGAAGTCTTTTAACAATCTGTTTCCACAAAGGGCAGGGAAAATTATAATGCCGGTGAATTGGCAGGGATTTTGTCTTACAAATGATATCCAGACTCAAATGGTTAAGCTATTGTCATCACATTTGGTTAATTCAACTTCTGTTGCAAACAATGAGTCTGAGAATATTCAACCACAGATACAATATCAAGTCCCTCAGTTTGCTCAATCTGTGTATCCTTTACTAGTTGATTTGCACGACATTTTTGGTGATATTCCTTCAATAGGAAGAGCCCTAGCTTCTGCTCAGAAAGTGTTGTATGATGTAAACAGAGGAGAAATGGTCAATGCGGAACTCCTTTCCAATGTTTATATATTCCGGATTGCAGTTGAGGTGTTGAGAATTGCCTTGAATAATGCTGGTCGTCTTCCTATTAGCAAAACTGGGGATGCAAACGATGAGTTTTCTGAGCTTTCTATCGAGGAGAAGTCACATGCACTTCTTGCCCACGCTCTCCGAAGCCAGACAAAGAAGTTTAAATCAATTGTTGCAGTAGTAGATGCACGGAGTTTAGCTGGATTAAGGAAATACTGGAATACCTGTGTTCCGATGGAAATCAAAGATATGGTTGAACAGCTTGCCGCTAACTGGGAAAGTGGCGAAATTTTTCAGACCGACAGAAAAAGCTTATTAGCTGGTAAACCAGTGGTAGCAGTTGGGGCAGGTGCAACAGCAGTGATAGGTGCTTCATCCCTCTCCAAAGTCGTTCCGTTATCTACTATTATGAAGGTGGTTACCTTTAAAGTTCCAGCCTCCTTAAAACTCATGATGACTCAGACCCAAAAGGCTGCAGCTATTATGCTTGGCAAGTCAAAGGTTGTTGCCCCGGGAATGGCAAGTTCTGGTTTGAAATCGTCGTTTTTTAAGGCAGCTGCTTCCACTGAGAAAATTCGAGTCGTGGCTCATAGTGCTATAGCCTCAGCCGAGAGAACTAGTTTATCAGCTATGAGAAGTGCATTCTATGAAATTATGAGGAAACGGCACATCCGGCCAATTGGGGTTTTGCCATGGGCAACATTTGGGTGCAGCATTGCTACCTGCACTGGCTTACTTGTCTATGGAGATGGAATTGAGTGTGTTGCTGAATCACTTCCTGCAGCTCTTTCAATTGCTAGTTTGGGTCGCGGGATTCAGAGTTTGCGCGAAGCTTCTCAGGCAATGAGGCAAAGTGAAAGCTCCAGGATACAAAATTCATTAGAGTCCCTTTTGTACAGATTTAAGATAAAGGTTCAATAAGATTTTGGTTGCTTTCTTATATGTTCACTCAAATGTGAAGTCGAACTTGCTATTACGTAAATATACTCCTTAATTGAGTATAGAGGCTTTCCATTTTATTATTGTCGAAGTTTTCTGTATGGTTTGCAATTGAGTGAATGAACTTAAAACGTGTTCAATTATAATTGAACCATTTTTTTTATCAATAGGAAAGGGAAATTATAAGTCAAATGATTAAATTTTATTGGGACATTCTTGATGGCTTAGTAACTACAAGATTTTAAGTTCAGACTTCCAATTGAAATGCTTTCATTCTTGGTGGTTGGATAACCATAAAATTTTAAGTTTAGACTTCTAATTGAAATAGTTTCATTCTTGGTGGCTGAATAATCACAAAATTTTAAGTTCAGATTTTCAAGATTTATCGGTTACATACAATTTAAGTTAGTTTATGCGATCTATTAAATTTTAATTTTTTATTTTTTAATTTCAATCTATCAACTACAAACTCCTTACCTTCATTTACAAGTTAAGATTACATGGTGGGATTGATCTCATCACTCAAAAAATGTTTAATTTTTTTTTTTCTTTTGGCTAAAAAACATTACAAAATGGATATTCGGGTGTAGAAGCTTGGAGGGAAAGAAGGAAAAGGATGGGCAGCAACCTAAATGCGGTGTTCTACGCCGATATATACCACCCTATTCAGTCCGGCAGCATCGACGGCACCGATATTCTGCCGCACGACAGCGCCGTCTACCGGGCGCTCCTCTGCTCCAATGCCGGCCTGTGTAATTTTCCTCTCTCTACTCTCCCACTTCCTTGCTTTTAACTGTCGCTCTTACTTTCTACTCCTTTTATCGCAGATGACCCCTTCGGCGACCCCAAGGCCGTCGGCGATCCTTACTGTACTCTCTTCGTGGGACGTCTCTCACACCTCACTACCGAACACACTCTTCGCGAGGTGGCCGTTTCTTCTTTTATTACGTTTTACAGAAAAAAAAAAAAAAAAATTCTTTCCTTCTTATGGCTGCCAATTGGACTGCTCTTCTGAAATTTTAGTTCTATATCTTAAATACCCTGTAATTCCTGTAATTTTGTTTGGGTGGGATTTCTGGAGTAATAGCAGAGATTCTGTGTGAATTTCCAGGAAATGAGCAAATATGGAAGGGTGAAGAACTTGAGATTAGTCAGACACATTGGTAAGATTTTGTGTTGCGCCCTATGTCTTTCTCATTATTACGGAGCATTATATATATAGTGTTCTGAAAGTTCTTTCGACTTTCTGAAGACTGAAGTGAATTCCTATTCTGTTCAAATCTTAAAGGACTATCTGTTGTGTTCAAAACTGCAATGGAGTTTAAATTATTTGGCTCTGAACTTTGTGACCTTGAAACTCCACCAAATTTGTACCCTGCTTTAATTTATTTATTTGATGGGTCACTGGGTTTAAACTTTACTTGCATGCAAATATGGTGTTAGTACTCCCAAGGTCTGCCAGTTCAGCGCGATAGATTCTCATTGTTTAGTAAGAGTAAAAAATTTGCTCATGTTAGATGGAGTCAAGAACTAGAGATGATGAGAGCATTCGTTTGATCCATGTCAAACAATCTGGAAAGGCATGCGGGTTTCTGGTGAAAAACCTCCTTGAATTCGTGTAGGAAAAATGACACAAAGGTGGCCTGAAAAGAATGCTGACATAGGTTCAAAGGTTTGAGCAAAAATGTGATAGCTATAAAGATAAATGAAGAACATGGTATGGTGTAGTGTTCATCTATTGACACGGCTCAGATATATTTGCAATGATGAACTAAAACTACTAGTAGATGGGATGTTTTCTCACCTGTGTGTTCTTTATGAATTTTTGGTGATTTCATTCAACTCAAAGTCATAGCCTGGTGCTTGGAAAATACTATGGTCATTGGTTTAGAATTTTTTGTCCAAGTTCTTTAGCTTTATTTAGTTCTTATTACTCTGTATTTGTTTGGGAATAAGTATATTACTTTATTGAGCTGTAACATAATGGATTGGAAATCTAGCATGTCTTGCTAAAAGTGCCCTTCCTATATGATGCTATGATAACCAGCTTTAATGTTGCTATGTAGTAACGGGTGCTTCACGTGGATATGCCTTTGTTGAATTTGAAACAGAAAGAGAGATGCGACGGGCATACAAGGTAATGTTTTTTCATCAACACCTATCTCATCTCAATGTCTGCAATATATAGTGATTGGCCATTGGGGTCATACCCGCCAAATCACCATCCTTTCTCTCAGGACTTCGACTGTTTAATTTCTAACCCAAGAAATTACAAGTATGGTCCTTTGTTTGTCAAGATATTGTGCAATTTCTGACTGTTTCTATCTGTCTTGTTTTTATCTCTCTCACAAACTATGTCTGTGTAGTTTAGGGTCCTCAACTATGTGTTAATTTTGAGCTTTTATCAGTTACCGTGATGGATTCATATTAGTTTCTTGGGGAAAGATTGTTATTGATTAACTTAAAGCGGAATACCTTTATAAGTAGGAAATTGCCCCTTATCTTAACAGTTGTCTGCTATAAATTTCCAAAGCTTGTCCTTCTAAAGTCTGATGTTCACTGTTCTTTTGTTGTGGACATTGTTGGTTCTGTAGTTTTATAGATAAATTTTCATTTGAAAAATGATAATGACATGAATAGAGGAAACTAGGAAAGAAAGATGGTCTCTCTGTGCTCCCAAAGGCTCATTTTAGCTTCTGGGACATTATTAATGACATAAATAAGGGAAAGAAAGATAAGTCTCCAATGAACAGATACTACATTGTAACAGAGTCAATAATACTAAAAAAAAAAAGAAGAAGAGATAAGTCTCCATGTGCCCAAACATGCCTTTTAATTTCCGCAACTAATGTAATATTTTATAGATAGTCAATAGTAATGTTTTCACCTTACATTGAGTAGTTAATTAAATATTACATCTGAGTTTGGCAATGAATAAACCATGCATTATTAATCGTTAAGTTTGATGAACCATATTACTTTGCTTAAAATAATGTGATTCAATTATTCCAGCTTCTGTTGCCCATTTTCCCTACTGAAGCGAACTTGCAGTTATTCATTATCTTTTTACACAGGATGCTCACCATAAGATCATTGATGATTCTGAAATTATAGTTGATTACAACAGGCAGCGGCTGATGCCAGGCTGGATTCCAAGAAGATTAGGTTAGTCTAATTTTCTTTTCATTTGAGCCTTAATGTGTTATTTATGTCACTTCTTGAGGTGAGCTTATTTGATAGGAGGGGGACTTGGAGGCAAAAAGGAATCTGGACAACTTCGATTTGGAGGCCGAGATAGACCATTCCGAGCCCCACTGTATGTCTTCATCCTTCCATCTTTTTTCAAGGATTCATGTATTTTTATTATTATAAGATTGATTGATACTTTGTTTTTTTTTTTTTTTAAAATTTCAAACAGGCGACAGATTCCCTTTGATGACCTGAAAAGGCTTGGAATACCACCTCCACCAGAGGGACGATATATGTCTCGCTTTCAGGTAACTGGATTTTTTAAATGAGAATTTCTATAGTTGCAGGATTAAAGAAGATATCATAGTTGCTATCCGACAATGCCTTGCTCTTAAGAACTGTGAGGTAGTTGGTTTGCTTCTTTTACTTTGTGACTAGAAGCTCTAAACTATTATTTTCATCAATCAAAATTAACTTTAGTTGTCTTATGTGGATGACATAGGCTATTTTAAACATGTAGTGCTGCCTGAACCTTGACCTTTAATTTTCTGTCATTGTCATTAAATTGTGTTAAGATTCCAAGTCACTGTGCTTTTGTTCTTCCGTTTTTTCTTTCTGCACTTTCCTGTGGTATATAGCTCAAGTTTGGCACTTGCATGGCTGATTTTTTCCAGAATTTCTGCCATGGATCCAAGTAAATTTGAAGCTGGGAATGTAATGTGCCTAGTTAACGGTGCACATTCCATAGATGTTTGGATCTGTTATTTGCCAAGCCTAGGATTTGAATTCCTTTGTAAATCAAATTATGCAGGTTCCATCACCACCCCGAAGAGAAAGGATCTCTGTAGACTCCCCTCACAAATACAAAGAAAGCAGGCGTTCTCATCAGCGGGAGAGGGAGAGGTCAACCAGTACGGAACGCAATTCCAGCAGACACAAGCGATCCATGGACATAGAAGACACCTCTCGCAAGAACCAAAAGCGTAGGAGAGAGAGACGCAGCGGGAGATCCTCTAGTCCTGATTTTTCGTCCGATGGAAGGAGTTCAAGGGACAGGGAAGAACGCTCGTCTCAACGACACCGAAAGCACAGCAGGCATAAGCGGTCCGACCGTTCATCGGGTGAAAGTTCATTGTATAGGGAAGAACGTCACTCTGTACATAGGTCTCCTTCACATCAATATGACAGATGGTCTCCAAGCAGGAAGAGGTCTACCAGTTGATTAGGAAAAACAATTGAATATTTTCCCCCTCCTAAATTTATCTCATCACATTCACCTCTGATATGGCTATATAGAAATGAAGTAGAAGAGTGAATGTATTCGCTTGAGACACCCTTTTTTTCTTTTCTAGGAGTTGCGGCAGGAACCATCTTGAAATGATTCGATGAGTTTGAAATGCAAAAACACTTTTCTCTTGATACAATGGATAAAAGAAACCAAACAAAACAAACTCAACTGCATAACTCTAAGCCAATTAATCGCAATAGCATCCATATCAAGAAACATATTGATCCCTAGCCTTCAATTTGCAAATTGAGAGTGTTGGGGTTATTAGGGCAAGTCCAGTAGATTTTGGTGTGGTGTTTGAGGAACCATAGCTGAGGTGGAGGAGAGAGATTATCATGGCTTCTCCTGTAAAGTCTTTGATTTTTGCAGGAGAAGCAAAAAAAAAAAAAAAAAAAAAAACGTCCCACGCGAGTTGGTGGCCACTATGACCTTTTGACCCTTTTTTTTGTTTAAATTGTCAGATTTTTCTTTTCCTTTTCGTTTTCTCTCTCCTACATGTCTTCCTAAAATGTTGTAAAAAAATTAAACGGAGACTCCAGTGCGATTTTTAAGGGGTTTTTGTAAGAGTGATTAGGAAAGAGAAGAAGAGAGGAGAGAAAAGAAAAAAAACAAACAAACAAAACTGAATTTTTAAACAAAAAAATAAAAATAAAAATAGTGTCAGGCGCGCTGTCAGCGTGCCCGTGTGGCCATTGACTGTGCATGAATGTGCACAACACTTGTTTTTTTTTTTTTTTTCCTTGACATGAACCCAACCCTTTGCAGGCCAAATATATTTTCTATTATCCCTATTCCACGTCTAGAAAGATCCCCACCCAATATATTTGATCAGACATTAACCCCCAAATATTCTCTGACGGTGATTAGAATTTAGAACCCAAACAGGCCCAAATCCCAATGACTTAAACTTTCAATTTTATTTAAATTTCATCCTTCAATTAAAATTAAATAGTTTACAAGAGAAAAAAAAAAAGAGTACATATAAGGGCAACATACTTGAACATGTTAATTATTAATTATTTTTATTAAACAGTAAAATTATAAAAATTTAAACGGATGAATAATAATTATGTAAAAGTTAAAACGTATTGTAACAGAATTTAAAAAAAAAAAAAAAGTAGATGTCATAATAATTGAAAATTAAAAATAAACTTGTTCAAAGAAATATAACGGCAATGTTCATAAGGCGGCACACGTGTGAGGCAGTTGGTCAAAAAGACGAAGCTTTACCCATTTTACACGTTGGGCAGTGCCGTCCAACTCCGCCATTCTTTCACGGAATCAGCGGTGGCGGTGGGTCAACCAGACAAGCACCCACAGGGGTCAAGTTCGTAATTTTGACCAAACCACCAGTGGCAAAACTGTCATTCCATCGCACCTGTCCCTTCCCGTCTGAAAATCCGAAGCTTCTTCCTGTTCGCTCCTTGCTGGCGCTACGACTCGACTGGGTCATCGTGAATCGTATTTTTAGTAAAAACCCATTTTCCCTGAAATTGCTCTCTCACCCTTTCTTCTTCAATTCACATTAAACCTCTCCCATCAAACCCTGCTCAAATTCAGATTTTGCGTTCTCAACTTTCTCTCATTCTTCTTCTTCGCCATTCGATTACTGTGGTATCATGCTCACCTCATCGCTTCAATTTAATTCATTCATTTTCTTTATCTCGTGCTTTTAGATTAGTTAATTGCTTTTTTTTTTTTTTTTTTTTTTTTTTTTGGGGATTTGTTGAGTTATTCATCTCGTGCTGTGGGAGAATCCCTTATAGTAAGATTAATTTTGTTCTGTTTTCCTTCAATTATTGTTACTCTTGTTGTATGGGTACTTTTTGTATTGAAATTTGGAAGATCTAAATTTTGTGATATTCGTATGCTGTTGGTTAGGCTAGGCAGCATGTTAGCTTTACTTGTATGGGCTGTTGAGCTTTTAGCAATGCCATGGCGATGGATTTTCTCCGCGCGCATGTGAAGACTTACAATTTCTTTCGTACAATGTTAAAATAAAGTACAGTGACTCAATGAGTGCGTTGAGGTTATGATTGTTTTGTGTGCCCTTAGTAGAGGGGATTTTCCCACTGTGCTCTCGGAGGTGGTTGGGACATTTGTTTGATTATTAGTGGTGCTATGGAACAAATTACTTTTGTTTTTCTGCACTATAGTCTCTAAGACGCATACTGGTGTGGGGTTCTGATTCCATTTATATTCTTTTTTATTTTCACATGAATGAGATCTGATTGGGTTTTAGATCCTTTCTGGATTCTATATTTCTCGTAAGATGTTGACAGTCTTGCAGGGAATATTACAAAATGGTGTTATTCATAGTTGGTTTCTTGCCTAATGCAACACACTTTTTCTGAGTGTCATGGTATTTATTGTGATATTCATTCAACATTTTGGCATTGACAGCACCATTCTTTCTGGGATCGCAAGTTATCTTAGTGCCAGTAATAATGCGTGCACCATCTCTTCTTGCACAATGCTTGCCTGGATTGATATCTGCAGACAGGGGGTGTCACGCGTCAGTAATATCTGACAGAGATGGTCATCTTCCTTCACCAGCTGTAGAGATTGTTCCTTCAAAAGTGAGTTCCTAATTGTATGTTTCAAACAGTATAAACAGTGCTTATCTAAAATTTCTTGATATCTCCCTGCAAGTTTGGTACATGAACTCCTAGGTATTGTTTCCTATCTATTTGTATAATTGAATATTTAATTTCTTTTCTGTGCAGACCGCGCATCCCTATACATATGCTAGTGAGAATGTAGATCTACAAGGAATCAATATAGTCAAGGTACTGGTAGTGCTAACTTGTTTTCATTATCCTTCCATACTGCTTTCAGTAATTTTTTATTATTTTTTTAATGTCATTTATCATCTCAAGATACATAGTTGAGTAGTTGACTGCTGATAGCAGCTTATTGTACTTCCTGAATTTTTATCTAGCTGCTGAAGAGGTGGCTCACATTATAGAAATCCTAATAATTTTCTTTTGCTGATTTGGAGTTCCATCTCCTTGAATGTTACGGAGTATGTTCTTAGTCCATTTGCTATTACCTTTGGGCACAGTTTTAAGACAAAACCTGTTAAACAATTTGATCTTCAGTTCTTCACCATTCAAAGTTAATCACCTTGTATGGGATAAGGTTTGATATTGTCATTTGAGAATGAGATTTAGATTTATCTAGGAAAAGGGTAGGAAAATTTATATAAGATACACTACTCTGCCCTCAAAGTTCCTATTCTATTTCATGGGCATGAAAGTTATGCAGATTGTGCATTCTAAACTATCTTCTTTTTTAATATTATATTGAAGTGATTAAGAAACTCCAAACTTATCCATGCCTACTAATGTTTTATACTTTTATCTTTAGGGTAGAATAAGTGTTGCTGATATAATCGGCTTTACTGGCACAGAAATGATATCCTCAAAACCAGATGGTATGTACAGCACCTTGCATCCTTACTTTTGATGGCTTGGCATTAACTTGCTTCCCTGTGCTAAAATTTTAAAACTATATCACTTCGTACTTCGTAGCCAGATTTTGTGCCAATGTATACATAGCTGCCAATTTTCACACATTGACTTCTTTATAATGCAGGATATCTGAAGTGTTGGGATGGTTCACTTGATCTTGTTAATGTTCTCAAACATGAGATTAGGGATGGACAGCTGAGTTTTAGGGGCAAAAGGGTGATTGAGGTACTTCCAATCCATAGCAATCATAATTGAAGATACCTGTATGCATCTGAATAAGATTTTGTAATTGCTTCAGGGTATATGGTGCATAGATAAATTAAATGACAAAATCTCCTATTACTATGGTGTTTTTATCCCCTATTAATATAAATGACACATTAATTCCCCCTGAAGCTAAAAATTCTCTATCTCCAAGAATGTGTTTGGTTCAATATTCTTTGCATAAATTAAATGACAAAATCTCCTATTCATATGGTGTTTTATCCCCTATTAATATAAATGCCACATTAATTCCCCCTGATTCTAAAAAATCTCTTATCTCCAAGAAATGCATTAGCCTATTACAGTACATAGATTATTGGAAAGAATATTGAACCAAATGCTTTCTGCTAATGTGTTAGGCACAAAAAAAAAATGAAAATCAAATTATTAATGTAGTATATGGTGCATTTTTCGTGTTTAGTGGAAAGTAATTTTTAGCAAAATGCATTTCATTATTGTGTTTGTCCTTATTATTTATTTTCACCAACTGTGAAATTAAAAATCTGAAAAATTAAGAATCACATTTATTTAATGTGTTTCTTAAAAAATTGTGATCCAAACGCATTTGAGATGTGTCCCAGTTCTATAGAAAAATGAAATTCTGGACTGATGTAATTGTGCATGCCAGTCAATACACACTGTTGAAATTTTGCATTTGCTATTTAACTTGTGCAAACTTGTTACAAGCTGGTAGCTTTGTCCCTCGTGTGCTCCTTCATTTCACTACTGATCATTGTATTGTTGTTTGCTCTACTTTGGTAGCAGAAAATAATCTCACTCTGTTATTTATTTATTCTTCAGCTTAGCTGCGGCTATGGGCTTCCAGGAATATTTGCTTGTTTAAAGGTAATAATCACACTTTATACAATACTTACTATGTCTATGTTTGCACAATCTATAATAACTATGATTTTGAAATGGGAAAATCACCACCAAGGACCTTGTGGTCCAATGGTACCAAGTTGAACTCCCACATGGGAGGTTGTCGTTTCGAGCCTCAGTGGAGGCGCGGCGCTATTGACTCTCTGTGCTTCAGTAGGTTGAGAAAGTAGTTATGAATAGAGTTAATAGTATTCAAAAAAAAGGAAAATCACCATTTTGGTCCCTCAATTGTTTCCCAACTGTCAATGTAGTCCCTAGTTTTCAATTTCAACTAATTTGATCATCGAATTGTTTCAAATTTCGTCAATTGAACCCTTCCGTGGGACCAAAATGGTGATTTCTCATTTTTAAATTTTCGTCAATTTGATCCTCAAAGGGTTTAATTGACGAAATTTTAAACAATTCGAGGATCAAATTAGTTGAAATTGAAAATTAGGGACTACATTGACAGTTGGGAAACAATTGAGGGACCAAAATGGTGATTTCCCCTTTTGAAATCTCTAGTGTTAAAAATTTTGTGAAATGGAAAGAGAAGCAGACATTATTAGCATTTCTATTGGTATGGTCTTCCCATGTTTTACCATCTCTAACCCTACAGGTAGATGTTCAATAACAATATGAAAGTCCTTGTGGTTTATAATGTTGAAAAGTTCCCAGGTCTATATGCTTTACGGTCTATTTGTGTTTCTTCTGCACTTGTTAGTTGTTACTAATATTGATTATTACATTTTGATCAATGGGTTCTACATGGCATGACATCAGGATGCAATAAATGTGTAAATTTAAATTATGTAGAAATAAAGCTCTAAACTCCCTGTGATAGTTGATCATTGGTTAGTGGTTACACTTTTGTTGTCCGAAGAATCACGAGTGCTGAAATGTGCTCTCTTTAAAGATAATCCAATAATTATCCAAACAACGATATTGAAAGAATACCCATCATGTGGCTAGAGCCCAACATCAGAATGCATTTTTTTTATTATGGATTTTATTAAAACTTCAACAAATAAAGCATGATTATTGGTTTCATAAAACAATTTCTTATAATTGTGGTGTTACACTAATTTGCAGGGAGCTTCTACCGTGCATTTTCAGGACAGGAATGCAGAGGCTATAAGATGCACCACTATTCCAAATGTCTTGGTGAACCTTGAGGAGGCTCGGGAACGGCAGTGCCGTCAACCTGAGAGCCCTTTGACTCCTTCTAGGCAGACTCTTGCTCCAACAGTAAACTTTTATGCAGGGGAATGGGGGGAACTGCCAACGGTGTTGTCTGTTGTTAGGAATGATGCATCTGAGATACCTAGAGGGATGAGCCTCAGCTTCTCTGAGGAAGATTTAATGGATGGCTGTAGTAGCCAAGATGGGAGCATCTTAGTCCATGAATCTTCCTCGAGGCGGTCTAGGAAACTGTCTGGAAGCAGGGCATGGGAGAGGGCTAGTGATGCAGACCAAGGAGAAAGTGGGTATGATGTTATTTTGATGACCGAGATTCCCTATTCAGTGGCCTCACTGAAGAAGCTGTATTCACTGATAAAAAAGGTTAGTTTCTTTCTCCTTGCTTCATTAAGTAGCTTGTCTTCTGTGTTTGAACATACATGAAACTGAAAATTTGACAAAATAAGTTGATTGCTTTATGTGTCAAATTTGAACAAATAAGCTGATTGTGGGCTGGTCCAGCATTTTGTGAAGAATGAGCCCCAATTAAGTTTTCAGCATGAGTACTGGATGTGTTGTTACATAAAGTTGCAATCCATCCTTCCACAGTGCGTGAATCCATATTTTGCATCATAATCTAGAACTAAAATGATTTCTCCTCATTCTACTTATGTGTATTTCTATTCCTTTTTCCTGAATTACTAGTGCTTAAGGCCCCCTTATGGAGTAATGTACCTGGCAACAAAAAGAAACTATGTTGGCTTCAACAGTGCTGCACGACACCTCCGGAGTCTGGTGGATGAGGAAGGTGTTTTTGGTGCTCATTTGGTAACAGAGCTAACAGACAGAGAGATTTGGAAATTCTTTTTCAAATGAAAAGATGATCTCAGCTTTGCCCCAAAGGTTCTATTCATTCAATAATTGTTTCCAGTAATATTATAATATAATAGTAAATTCTTAGCTTGTTATTAAGAAAAGATACACTACTGGATGGTTCAGTGCTTGTCTCCTGTAATTATGTTCTTTAAACTTGTTGTTTACGTTGAGAGAGATGTAAATTTTATAGGCTTGTGTAATATACTTTGTTTTAGCATTGATGGAGGAGGAAAATTCTCTAGTGAGTTTGTGCCCCATATATTTCCTAATCCTTCTTTCATCTTCATCCTCCCAACTTTTCTTATATTTTCTTGTATCTTACGGGGGATTAGCATCCTCTTAACCAACCCTATTCTATAACACAAACATGGGAGTCAGAATTAAACACAAAATAAGTTTTTTTTTTTTGTTTGTTAATAAATAAGAATTGTAATCAAAATAAATAAACAATTAATTAAAGGGAAAATGTCATTTTTTTTCTTTGAATTATAAGTTTATAGTAATTTTCTCTCTGAGTTATTCATGTATTCACATTTTTTTCTTAATTATTTTAAAAGTGCCGATTTTCTTATTTGGATGTTAAATGGACATTTTTATCTTTAAAATAATTATTTCATTTATTTTTTTCTCTAATAAATTATTACTTATGTAGGGATAATCATAGTTTGATTTGAACCGAACCGAATACCATAACAACCGAACTAAAGTAATGTGGACAGTTGTTGTTACGATTCAGAACTTGGAAAAGAGAAGATCTTGACACTTCAGAGAGATTGGAAGGGCGTTGTCACCAATTGAAGAGACGGTGAAAGAAAAGAAGAGTAGGAAATATTATTGAGGCCCCATGTTTGTGAAATGGAAGTGAAGAGACTAAGGAAGAAAAATGTATTTGTTGTTCTTTTTATCTTGACACGGTTTTTGAGGTTTGAGAGGATGATACTTGGTGGGCACTAATGAGTATGGCAATTTATATCCTACACCACGGCGCGCGTTGTATTATGCGCCCAGATGCAAAACGACGTCGTTTTAATTTTTTTTTTTTTTTTTTGAAATTTCCCGCCCCAGTGAATGACAGTAGTTTTTTCTTTTAAAAAAAATCCGTTGTTCAAGAATGTACATAATGTTATACTAGAATACACATAATTGTATACATGAATGTACATAATTATATAACAAAATATACATACTCTTTTTAAAAGATAATACACATAATCTAACATAATACATAATAAACATAAACTTTTAACATAATACACATCAACTATTAACATAATACACACAAATTTTCTGATTCGGATGTACATAATTGTATAAAAAGAATGTACATAATTGTATAAAAAATGTACATAACTGTATGAACTAATACACATAACTGTATGAACAAATACACATAACTGTGTGAACAAATACACATAATCCCAACAACTTTCTACCGCGCCTCCCAAAACGACCCCAAGACGACGTCGTTTTGTAAGGCGCGCGGCGCACAGTGCTATGTGCGCCGTGGTGTAAGGTATAACGATTGAATGAGTATGGAACAGTTGTGGTTAAAGTTTAAAGGGTAAAATATTACAAATAAAAATATAGTGATGTTTGTTTAATTATTTTTTAAAGAAATAAGGGTCAAATAGGCCATCGAACTACACAAGGAAATGCAATTAGGCCACTGAACTCAAAAAGAATGCAATTGGGCCACTGAACAGCGCAAAATGTTACAATTCGACCAAAAATGACCTGTTTACTTGTTAACTTGCTGATGTGGAGGTTATCACTTTAAAATAATAATTTTTTTATTTTATTATAAAATTTAAAATAACAAAAACTAAAAAAAAAAAAAACAGGTTTGCCGCCGGAGACGAAGAAGGTTCTTCGTCTCCAGGCTGCCGGAGACGAAACTGAAAATCTATTTTTTTTTATTATTTTTATTTTTATTTTTTTTAATTTTTTTTAATTTTTAATTTAGTTTTATTATTTTAAATTATTAAAATAAAATTAAAAAATATTATTTTAATATGGTAACCTACTCATTAGGTAAACAAGTCATTTTTGGCTTAATTGTAACATTTTGTGTTGTTGAGGGACCCAATTGCACTTTTTTTGAGTTCAATGGCCTGATTGCATTTTCGAGTGTAGTTCGATGGCCTATTTGATCCTTATTCCTTTTTTTAAAGTGGACAATATTCTGGAACAAACGAAAAAAAAGAAAGTAAAACAAGTAAGATGGGATGAAGTAGTATATGTCTAGTAATGGTTAAATTTGAGGGTAAGAATGTAACAATTGACTTGTTGATGAGATGGACATACACGGATTTAATTAGATGACTAAATTTAGAATAAAATCAATAGTCAATTACTAATTAATGTTCAAATTAAAAGTTAAAAATAAGAGTCGGTAAATGTGAATCAAGACAGACGGACAGACTCATAAATTTTATTTTAAAAGTCAATTAGGCCCATGAACTTTTAGATTGTAGTCACAACAAATTAAAGTTCATCAACATGTTATTTTGGGACATTGATGGGGCGTTTGATTGGATGTAATTTGGTTGTAATTGAATTTTAATTCAGTGAAGGCTTGCATTACAGTGTTTGGTTGGAGGGAATTGCAATTCAATAAATTTGAGAAAGGAAAATTAGATCAAATGACACTATTACCCTTGATTTTTATTGCTATTATTATTGTATAATGATATTTTAGTCATTATATCATTTTTCCTTCTCTTCCCCAATAATTATATTCCTTTCTACCGAACAATGTTATTTAAATTCCTACATTATTCCTACCTTATTCTTTTCCCACCGAATTGCAATTCATTTCCTTCCTAATTCCTTCCTCCCAACCGAACACCCCTGAAGTAAAAAATAAAATAAAATTGGTTAATGACATGCTATTACAAGTGGCTAGAGTTCCAACGACAATCCAGCCATCTTCGAGCACTAACATTGGCGAGCGACGACGATCAAACTGTCATCGATCGCTTTCCTCGACAGAAGGTGACTAATTGGTCACCTTCTTCAATATAGATCACCTTCCCAAAGGCGACCAATGGTCGCCACTACTTGAGAAGGCGAACAGTTGGTCACCTTTTCATTTCGGAGAAGGCGAATAATTTGTCACTTTAATCTCAAAGAAGACGACCACGGGTTGTCATCTTTGGGAAAGATAATCGGCAACAGTCTTGGAGATGGTCGAATTGTTGCCAATACCTTAATGATCTATAATAGCATACCACTAGTCGATTTTTTAACTTCAATTCTCTAAAATAATATATTGATAATTTAATTACACTTTTTAAAAAATTTAAAAATTTAATTAACTTTTTTAAATAAAGTTTAAAACCTATTTGACTTTTCCTTTTTTTTTTTTTTGAAAACACTTTTCCTTTTTTTTTTTTTTTTTTTATAACACTTTTCCTTTTTAAAGAATCTACTATTTTACTGCGTTGATCCACTCCCGCAAGTCACAGCAAGCTTTACCCTTTGCTGCCGGCCTCCAGCGCCGCTGTGATCGCTACCAGATTCCAATCAAACACTCACAGCTAGATGGACTCCGATGAAGACAGGAGAAGAAGGCGAGTCCCCTTCAAGGAGAGGCCCGAATGGGCAGACGTAAGGCCTGTGCCGCAAGACGACGGCCCTAGCCCCGTTGTCCCAATATCCTACACCGACGACTTCTCAGAAACCATGGACTACTTTCGCGCCGTCTACCTAGCCGACGAGCGTTCTCCCCGCGCTCTCCAACTCACCGCTGAAGCCATCCGTCTTAACCCTGGCAATTATACTGTAAGTTCAACTTCTCAAGCTTGTTGTACATCAAATTAATTATTGACTCTGTCAGTTGAAGCCTTGAAGGACATATGAAGATTGTCGATTCCTTTATTGTTAGTTCTACCTCCATACAGGCACACTCACATGCATCATCCGTATATTTTGAAATGCGCAGTTTATAATTTTTGTTGGATTTTTTAATTACAGATTTGGCAATTTAGGCGTGTGGTACTCGAGGCATTGAATGCTAATTTGCGCGAAGAATTGGAATTTGTTGATCAAATCGCCCGAGGCAACCCGAAAAACTATCAAATATGGTATTACCTTTGCTGCACTTTCAATTTCTTTCAAGTGCAATTTTAGTAGAGTGAAGTAGGGGTGTAAACGAGTCGAGCCGAGCTCGAGCATGGGTATGCTCGAGCTCGAGCTCGATAAATGCAGCTATGCTCGAGCTCGATCGAGCTCGTAACTGGATGCTCGAGCTCGAGCTCGGCAATTATCGAGCTGCTCGAGCTCGGCTCGAGCAGCTCGATTGTTCGAGCTCGAGCTCGAACTCGATCTTGAGCTCGAGTTCGAGCTTGATTTTGAGCTCGAATTCGAGCTCGAGATCAGGCTCGAGCTCGGGTTCAAATGCGTGCTCGATCTTAACCTTGAATTTGACGGTTTAACCTATTTGATTTAAAATTTAAACTGCTCTGTTTTATCCATACATAAATAATACAAACTTCAAATCAAAACACTCAAAATAATTTCGCAACGAAGTAAAAGATAGTGAAGACACAAGTCTGTTTGTTCAAACTTCAAAACATTCAAAATAAGTTTGCAAATCACAACAAAACACAAGTCAACAGTAGTAGTCCTTGATTCCTTGTACATATATATTTCGTCCCGGATATGTTCAAAACAATAGGGCTTTTAAGTTTTGACTTTTGAGTTTTAAATTTTAATTATTATTTTTATATATTTTAATTATATAATATTATATATTATATTGTATATTATACGGCTCGCGAGCCTAGAGTATCTAGGCTCGGCTCGTGCTCGTTTATTTGACGAGCCGCTCGAGCTCGGCTCGAGCTCGATTTTGACCGAGCTCGAGCCGAGCGTTGACCGAGCCGCTCACGAGCGGCTCGCGAGCGGCTCGGCTCATTTACACCCCTAGAGTGAAGTATAGATATTATTGTTTCAGCACCATATTCAAACCCAAAATCTCACACACTTTCTAAACATCGGTAGCCTTTGAAATTCAGGGTACAAGTACACTGTTTTTTTTTATTTTTTATTTTAATTTCCTTCTCTGAAAATTTCTTAAGTTTCCATGACCAAACTTCAAATCCTCACCAACACTGCCCCCCTTATTGATAAAAGAAAGAGATAAACAAAGAACTTTACTCTCGTTAGTTACTTGTAATCTTCCTTTTAAAAACCATTTGCTACTGCATATAGATAAATGATGACATTGAAGACTAAGAC